GGGGTGGGAAAGAGCCTCCTCAGACTGGGGCATGCTCTGGCCAGCCCCTCCCACTGGCACAGGAGAAAGTGGCCCTTGGCCTGGCAGAGTCCACCCCATGAGGCCCTTGGACCACCTCAGGGGCTGCTGCAGGCGGTGGCTGTGCTAACCTAGGAGGCTGGGCCCTGCCATTGGACGCTCCAGCCGCTCTGGGAAGGACGTGGTGGGAAGTGGGGTGGATGCTGTTGGAAGGGTCAGCTGAGACCCAGATGGCCTCGGCGCCCTCCATCCCCCCGGCATGGTGAGCTCAGCAGCCAGGGCCAGGAAATGGCACTGATCTGGCCGGAGATGAGGCCAGATTAGGGCAGAGCAGAGAAAGCATGTGGAAAGGAGTTCAGGACGGCAGTCACCTATGGCTTAGGGGAAGTCATGTGCTGCAGAAACGCATGGCACTGGGTCCTGGAAAACACATAAAAGGTGACAGCGGCAAAAGTTGGGAGGTGCTCTGCAAGGTGTGTGATTATTTATTAGAGCGCCTGGTCTTGTATGATCTCAGCTTATCAATAGGAACATTGTGTTGGTCAGGAAGAGCCATGAACTGCCTCGGGAGATGCTGAATCTTTCCCTGTGTTTGGAATGCTGCTGAGTCATCATCCGGCTGCCGAGAGTCACCCAGCAGAGGATCCTGTGTCCTTTCTGTTTGCATTAAGGCCAAACAAAGGCGCTCAGGGCCACTAGGTGACTCTGCTCAGCAGGTTCATAACCGGCTCTCCGTTATTGCTGTATTCATCTGGGTTACGAGAAAACCCAGACAGGGGCGGAGGTGGGGAAACTGGGGGCAGAACAGAGCACACCAGATAAAGAGAGAGGAACCAGCTGCGCGCACAGCTCCCGCCCGAGGGGAACAGATCGGGCTGCGCGTCTCAAGCTCCTGGGGCTTCATGTGTCGTTTCTTTTTTTTTTTTGAGACAGAGTTTCACTCTGTTGCCCAGGCTGGAGTGCAATAGCATGACCTTGGCTCACTGTAACCTCTGTCTCCTGGGTTCAAGCGATTCTCCTACCTCAGCCTCCCAAGTATCTGGGATTATAGGCATGTGTCAACACACCTGACTAATTTTTGTATTTTTAGTAGAGATGGGATTTCACCATGTTGGTCAGGCTGGTCTTGAACTCCTGGACCTCAGGTGATCTGCCCGCCTCAGCCTCTCAAAGTGCCGGGATAACAGGCGTGAGCATGTGTCGTTTCTTTAGCTGGATGCATGAATGTGTCATTGTGATCTGCTGTTCATCCTCAGCAGACAAACTTGAGGGGAAAGGCACACATGTAGACATATGTACAATCTCTTCTCATTTTAAAAAAGTCACAGTACTTGCAAAAGAATCACCTCTCATCTGTGGCAGGACAGGATCTTTGACATTTGTTTCTGATCCTGTCCTGGGTCTGGAGTGCAAGGAGCCCCTCAGACAGAGCCCCCTCCCTCCCCTGTCCTCAGGCCACATGGAGGCAAACTTCCAGGCACGAGAACACCGCACCCGGCTGGGGCTGCTATTCTGGAGTGGCAGGGCCACGCTGAGAAGGACCGACAGGTGACAGGGAAGGCCAGGTGACAGTCAAGGCAGCCTTGGCATCACCTTCCTGCACATTCCAGGGTGCAAGTCAGCCTTTGCCGTCTGGACTGACAATTTCATGGGGAGCACTTCGGCTTTTCGCAGGATAAATGCATTTGTTTCTTAATAAAAACATCTTTACGCCTGGCCAACATTGTTTTCTCCTGCTACTTAATGCTAAGGAGTCTAAAAAGCTGACAAAGGAAAAGGAAAATTTCACCATGGTGGGTGGGGCAAGGCAGTACATTACAGGGTCTGGACTTTTATTCCCCAGCCTCTGAGAAAGCAATTTTACAGCAAGACCAGTTACTGGAAGTCACTGGAGCAGAGCTTGAGTGGCCATTATCCTTAAAACACCTGCAAGACCATTCAGGCTACCATTAACCCATTCCTCTGCCCCAGGGGCTTCCCGCCCATCCACCCGTTCCTCTTCTGGGTGTGAGACCTCACCTGCAAGAGCAAGACAACAGAGCTGGGGGAAGCTGAGGGGACAAACGTTCCCCACCGAAGCCACAGGGAGAAGCACTCTTTCTCTTATGTGTTCATCGACAAGTACTCTGACACCTGGGCCAGGCGCAGGAGCACAGCGAAGACGCCCTGTACTCCCTGCACACGGTGCACACTCCCTGCACACCTTGCACACGGTGCACACTCCCTACATGCCCTGTACACGGTGCACACTCCCTGCACACTCCCTGTATACGGTGCACACTCCCTGTACACTGTGCACACTCCCTACACGCCCTGTACACGGTGCACACTCCCTGCACACTCCCTGTACATGGTGCACACTCCCTGCACACCTTGCACACGGCGCACACTCCCTGCACACTCCCTGTACACGGTGCACACTCCCTGCACACCTTGCACACGGTGCACACTCCCTGCACACTCCCTGTACACGGTGCACACTCCCTGCACACGGTGCACACTCCCTGCACACCTTGCACACGGTGCACACTCCCTACACACCCCGTACACGGTGCACACTCCCTGCACATGGTGCACACTCCCTGCATGCCCTGTACACGGCACACACTCCCTGCACATGGTGCACACTCCCTACATGCCCTGTACACGGTGCACACTCCCTGCACATGGTGCACACTCCCTACATGNCCTGTACACGGTGCACACTCCCTGCACATGGTGCACACTCCCTACATGCCCTGTACACGGCGCACACTCCCTGCACGCCCTGTACACAGTGCACACGCCCTGCATGTCCTGCATTCTCTGTACTCCTTACACACTCCCTGCATGCCCTGCACTCCCTGTACCCCCAGCAGGCCCTGCACACTCCAAATGCCCTGCACACCGTGCTTGTCTCTGAAGCAGCAAGAGGCAGCCACAGACCCCATGACAACACAGTGGGGTCTCCGCCCCGTGGGGGGACTGTGGCTGCTGTTGAGCCTGGCAGAAGGGTGTGACCTGCATTTTGCGGTCAGGGAGGAGGAAGGGATGCTTAGCTGAGACCTGAATTAGAGCGGAAGTCAGCCTAACAAGAGATGGCCTTTTGCCATCTAGAAGATTGTGGCACTCTAGACCACATCCATATGAGGTATTCACACGCACACCTCATCTAGAATGGCGTCATATTCTGGATGACGTTGCCAGTGAGGCAGGGGGAGAGGGGATGGACTTTTATTCCTTCTCCCTCTTTCCATGCTCTCCTTCCTCACACAGAACCCCCAGGCTTAACATAAGAGCTGGCTTCAGTGACTGACACCAAGGGGAGGGCACCTCTGGGCTGGACTCTGAGGGGCCTTTGTGCCCAACAGAATCTTGGGGGGCCAGCTAGGCAACCCTGCTGGATGTAATGAGGTCCCTTGGGGTCGGCTGCCTACTGACTGTGAAAACAGTTATTTCTGGGGAGAGAGGGCTGACCCCAGTGGAGAACCTCAGAAATGAGCTCAGCATTGACAGGAAGTAAAAAGAAGTGGCCTACAGCGGAAAGGGAGGTTTGGCCTGGCTGAACCGCAGGGGAGAATGCAGTCTGGCATGGGGGCATGAGATGGCTCTGGTCCGCCCTTCAGAGGTCTCTCATTTTGAGTCTTTATTTCAGGGGGATGCTGAAAGCCTGAGAACCCCTGGTCTGGCAGACAAGCTCTTCTTCAGCCACAGAGAGAGGGGAGGAGGCCCATGTAGGGGAGGAGGGTCCCTGGGTCCCCAGGCAGGTTGGCAATGGATTGGAGGAGACCAGTGGCTTGGCCCATCCCCTAACAAGGCAGCCACCTTTGACCCCTCTTCCCCTTAGAGATAGCCGGCCACCCTTCCCTCGTCCAGGTCCTTCCTGTCCTTCCCCCAGTTCAGTTCGGATTTTGGCTTCTAGCCCATCCCCACCAGAGGAAGCTGCAGCCGCTGCGGGGCTCCGCACACTCGACCACGCCCCCTTTCTCTGGCATCCTCCTCCTGTCTGTCGCTGCTCCCTATCTATTTCTCTTCCTGCCTCTTTGTCTCTCTGATTTTCTCTGCTAGTGGGGTGCAGGCTCTGCTGGGTCTTCCTGCTTGTCCTCTCCTGGGGCCTCCAGAGCTGAGCTGAAGCTGCTCCAGCCCCTATTTTACTACGGGAGGTTGGCTTCCCTTGTGGCTGGGAGGAAGCGGTGAGGGGCAGCTGGCCTGCCTGGTGATCCGGACAGGCAGGGTCTGAGACCCAGGCCAGGCGCTTCTCCCTGAGCAGGTTTCTCCAGGTCCAAAAGGAAGAGCTGGAGAGATTGGAAAGGTCCTTTCTAGACCCCAAGGAACCCCTGATGACCCACAGGGCCAGTCTGTGTGCATGTGGTGCAGAGGAAGGGAAAACACCATTTTTTTTTTTTTTTCTTTTTCTTCTGCTTGGGGTCCCAGTTTCTTTTTCCTTTCTTTTTCTTTTTTTCTTTTTTTTTTTTTGAGACAGGGTCTCACTATGTTGCCCAAGCTAGTTTCAAATTCCTGGGCTCAAGCAATCCTCCTACCTCGGCCTCCCAGCATCCTGGGATTACAGGCGTGCGCCACCATGCCCCGGCCTGGGGGCCCAGTTTCTGTTTCAGGAAGTAACCTCAGAGCCAGACCATTTACTTACCTCCTTCTCCATCTTTCTGCCCCCCAGCCCACCTCCTCCAGATGTAAAGAGCTAAGACGGGACACTGTCCCCAAGCCACCCCATCACACAGTCCCGGACATGTTCGCCTGGCAGTCTGAAAACTAGTTCCATGGGGATGTCTCTGAGTGCCATGTCCTTCGAGTCTGACTGATGGCTCTCAGGTAGCACAACCGTCGGAGGGTGGCCATGAGCGGCGGCTGCCCTCCCCCGGGAATCCTGACACTGCTCCTTGGCCTCCCCTGACAGAGGCTGGGCCTCAGAGGAGCTCTGCATCTGGCGGGGGGCGCCCACTCCAAGAGCTCCGAGAGTAGGGTTCAAGGCCTTGTGACACCCCCTTACCTGGTGATCTCTCTCCTGCCTGGGTCCTGGGGCGCCTCCCTCGGCTGGCTGGGGGTCCCTGTGCGGGCCGGGCGAGGCTCTTCCTGACATCCTCTTGGCCGCCACTCTCTGGGCCTGGCGTTGATGGCCACTGGGGAGGAGGAGAGAAAGTTCAGTCCCGATCTGCTCTGGAGCCCCTCTAAGGATGCCTTCTCTTGCACTGGGCTGTAAAGCCAAGAAAAGCGCACCCCAGCCAGGCCCTGCGGGCTTCCTGGTGCCTGCGGCTTGGGGCACTTGTTTACTCATGCAGGCTGGGAATTTGCTGGGCAGCGGGGCGTGGAGGGCACAGCCCAGGGATGTGCAGATCACCCTGCCTCCAGCCTCTCCGGCTCCCTCAGCCTCTGGAAAGCCCTCAGAACAACGAATTGTCTCCCTGGGCCACAGCGAGGCGCCATGGAACATGGAGGCACATTTGCTCATCTGAAACTCAAATACATGAGACGGAATCTTGCTCTGTCACCAGGCTGGAGTGCAGTGGCTTGATCTTGGCTCACTGCAACCTCTGCCTCCCAGGTTCAAGCAATTCTCCTGCCTCAGCCTCCCGAGTAACTGGGATTACAGGCGCCTGCCACCAGGCTCAGCTAATGTTTTGCATTTTTAGTAGAGATGGAGTTTCACCGTGTTAGCCAGGATGGTCTCGGCCTCCTGACCTCGTGATCCGCCCACCTCGGCCTCCCAAAGTGCTGGGATTACAGGTGTGAGCTACCTTGCCCGGCGGCATGTAGTTTTATTCGCTAAAACCAACAACCCGAGAGGCAGGGTGCTCCTCACGAAGCAGCCCGAGGCTCCTTAATGATGAACCCCTTGGTGCACCCAAGGTGGCCAGGAAGTGCCCTGACTCCCAGTGACAGGTGCCATAGCTGACGCTCACCCAGGACCCGGACAGCTGGGACATGCAAGAGCCCTTCATGGAGAAGCCGACAGAGAATCCCAGACAGCACGCCGAGAGGCCTCCCAGGGACCTGGGAACAGATGTTCCTGTATCTCGGATGCCACGACCCCTTCGCCCACCTCTCTTCTCCTACAGCTAAAGGGGTCCAAGTCACTGCTGCAGCAACACTGTGACAGAGCTGCATCCGTGGCTCCCTTAGGCCAAACTCCTCTCAGTTCTTTCATTTTGGAAACACCTTTGCCGCTTTGCAGTGTGATCTGTTTCATCTTAAATATAAAGGGACCTTCCCTGCAGGTTTCCCTGAAGCAAGGGGCTTTGACTTCCAGATAATTCTCTTTTGACCCAAACGAGAATCTATTTCTGATACCAGAACCCAGCGGGTGGCACTGGGTGGCATCCACCTGGATCTGGGTCTGGAACTAGAGCTTCAGGACAGTTGGCACAGGCTGTGTGCTTAGCATAGGGCCAGGAGACAAAGCGTATGTGCAAAAAGAATACTTGAGTGGAGTCACACAGAATTGCTGGGCTACATGCAGGGGAACCCCATTACAACGTGTGGTGTCATAAAGCTGTGCCCACGCCAGGCAAGCCCTCTAGGACCAGGAGCTTCCCAGGGTGTGTGTGTCGGGGGGGCGGGTGGCCACAAAAGAGGAGGAACTGAGCTGGTGTCCCCCAAAGCCATGAGCTGGTCTTGGTTCAACTGTCCCTTTCTCCTCTCCCACTTCCTCCAGCACAGGTTGCACTGCAGACTTTCAGAGATCCCACCAAGGACAAGAGACCGGCTGGGCACGGTGGCTCACGCCTGTAATCCCAGCACTTTGGGAGGCTGGAGCGGGAGGATCACTTGAGTTTAGGAGTTCGAGACCAGCCTGGCCAACATGGTAAAACCCTGTCTCTACCAAAAATACAAAAATTAGCCAGGTATGGTAACGCATGCCTATAATTCCAGCTATTCAGGAGGCTGAAGCAGGGGAATCACTTGAACCCTAGAGGCAGTGGTTGCAGTGAGCCAAGATCACACCATTGCACTCCAGCCTGGGGGAGAGAGAAAGACTCCATCTAAAACATAAATAAATAGGCTGGGCGCGATGGCTCACGCCTGTAATCCCAGCACTTTGGGAGGCTGGGACGGGCAGATCACTTGAGGTCAGGAATTCAAGACAAGCCTGGCCAACATGGTGAAACCTCATCTATACTAAAAATACAAAAATTAGCTAGGTGTGGTGGTGCGTGCCTGTAGTCCCAGCTACTCGGGAGGCTGAGGCAGGAGAATCACTTGAACCCAGAGGCGGAGGTTGCAGTGAGCCGAGATTGTGCGACTTCATTCTAGCCTGGTGACAGAGCAAGACTCCACCTCAAAAAAATAAATAAAAAATAAATAAAAATAAGTAAAAAGAACAAGAGACCACCCCCCCCCACACACACACACACTAAAGAGCCAGGAGCTAAGATCTGGGGCACCCTGGGTGCGCACCAGAGGCTCCCTGTGGCACAGTAGTATCTCTTGCCTGCTGGTCCATTTCTGGGCATTTTAACTCCCGGCCGATGAAGTCCCAAGGCATGTGATTTTGATATTCAAGATAGTCGTGGTTGGTGGGGAAATGAGAATGGCTTTCCTCAGGCCAGTGTTTTGTAAAATGCTAAGCCATATTCTTGGCCTTTTCCCTTGGGAACTATTTCCTCTTGGCATTTGGGGCCGAGTCCTTTGCCTAGAAATGTACTTTCTGGCCTTGCATTCCACAGATCAAGCAGTTTGAGGGTCCAACAGGTTCCTCCTCATAAGCTTTCCCTGCAGTGCCGACTGAATGCAAATCGCAAAGGCTCTTACTCAAGAAATTCAATGTGGAGGCGGTTGTTTCCATGGGGTCTCTGGGTGGTGGGGGTAGTTCCCAGCACAGGCCAGAGTCAGCTGCGAGCTGCGTGCAAGGAGACCTGTGGGAAGCATGGCCTGGGGCAAGGTGAGCCAGAGAAGGGAAGTGGAGGGGGCCCACACCTGTAATCCCAGCACTTTGGGAGGCTGAGGCAGGAGAATCACTTGAGCCCAGGGGTTCAAGACCAGCCTGGGAGCACAGAGAGACACCCCTCTCTACCATCAATCAATCAGTTGAAGTTGAGGGGAGGGCTGGAGAAGGAGGACTGTCTGGAGGAAGTCAGGCCAAGCTCCTGAGCAGGGAAGGAATGAAGCAGAAGGCAGCGTGGCTCAGGGGTGCCCACACCCAGCCCAGCACTGCCAGCTCCCTGCTCTCCCCATGCTCATTCCCCCTCCCCCTCACTCATCCCTCTGCTTAACCGTAGTCCCCTTATCTACTGAGCCAGAGGCAGGCGACAGGATGGGGAGGGGGGCAGGGAGGCCTGGGGAGACAGCAGCAGGCCATGGGCAGGCCTGTCTGAAAGAAGGCAGAAGTCAGAATGGAATCTACTGCAGGCATGGAAAAGGCTTACTCGTGATCCAGAGAAAACTTAATCTGGGGCTTGGTTTCTCCAAAGGAAGAACTTTCTGTCAAGCTAAAGGATTTTAAAGGCGACTAAGAGGGCCAGGCATGATGGCTCATGCCCAAATCCCAGTGCTTTGGGAGGCTCAGGTGGGAGGATTACTTGAGGCCAGTAGTTCAAAACCAGCTCAGGCAACATAGCAAAACTCCGTATTTACAAAAGATAAAAAAACACTTTGGCTGGCATGGTGGTGCATCTGTAGTCCCAGCTACTCAGGAGGCTGATGTGGGAGGATCGTTTAGGCACAGGAGTATGAGGCTGCAGTGAGCTATGACTGGCCACTGCACTCCAGCCTTGGAGACAGAGTGAGACCTTGTCTTAAAATAAAATAAAGGAGGACTAGAGGTGTTGGTCTGAGGCTCAGGGCGGGCCTGGTAGGGCCAGGGAGGGCAGTGACTATTCTTGGTCTCTGGCAGGTGGAGAAGGGCAGGGCTGGGGGTCAGCGTCCTGGGTCCCAGCCAGGCTGAGCCAATGGGAGCAGGCTTGAGGAAGGGACACTCAGAACACGGTCTCAGTGTTTGGGGCAGGCTGATGGGGGCACCGACCACAGGATTTGGGAAAAGCACTGCTCTGGCTCCAGCTGGTCCATCTGAGGGGCTGGTGAGAGGCTACTGCCTCCCTAGGAAGCAGCACTGGGAACCGCCCGTGTCCACCAAGGCTGAGTGTCCTGGGGTGCCCACCCTATTCATGCAAGGACCCAGAATGTACCTGCACCAAGACTTTGCCAGGGCTAAAGTAAACTGTTCTGAAAGAGAACAGTAATATCAACATTGCGGTAGCTGCCATGGGGCCATTTCCATCCATACCAACCTCAAGTGCCTCCACCCTGCAGGTAACAGCAGCATGACAGAGCTTTCCAGAGGCACGTCCAATCAGTGCAAAGACAAAGGGCCTCTTGGTGGTCATTTTGGTAAAGCAAGGATGTTACCGCGACGTTACCCTGAATGTACTGCGGGGCCTTTTAGGAAGTCCAGGCCTAAGAACTTGAAATCAGTGTTAACTCAACGGCATTCAGTCAAATTGGCAAAACTTGTTAGACGCCCGAAGACCTCCACCTTGGCAGCAGAAATCTCTGGATAAATACTGAGCTGCTCACCTTTGGAAAGCATATTAATATTTACAGCTCTAATAAAACACGTGTAAAAGAACTGATGAGCCATGCTGGCAAAACCTCTGAAATTGCTCATCATCAAGAGACCCAGGGTCCCAAATAACCCAGCCATTGCTGGCTCGTCACTGGCTACCCCTCTGCACCTGGGCCTGGAAGCGTCTGAATCCAATTGTGAGCAGATGCAAGTTCTCAGCTGTTTCTCAGACAGGAATCCAACCCGCTCCTCTGTTGTTTTTCCTACTCAAATGGAAATTAGAGTCTTATCTGAACTGCTCATAATCCTTTTAATTTCCTTTCAAAAATTAAAAAAAAATACTTTGTACATTTCTGATTCAAGTATATATGTTTTTTCTGGCATCTAAAAAAATACTTTTATTTCCCATTGGCCTCTGGTTAAATCAGCTGGAAGTTTCAAACGAGTTTGGATCCCAGAGTTGTTTGTGCTCTTAGTTGCACATTTCAGCCTCGGTCCAGCCTTCCAGCAGGCGGCCGGCCTTGTCGGCACCAGAATCGGAGCTACCAGAACCAGGGTCACAGACCTACATCAGCACGGGATTCCTCCTCCAAAGCTTCACATTAAAGCTGGCTTTCACCAGTCAGAAATCTTGCCCCAGGAGCCCCCAAATGGGAAAAGCTGACAGTGCTCCGAGGACCAGCCTAGCATGGTCTGGCTGTGGGTGGGGAAGCGCATGAGCCTCTGTGACACTGGGCTGTGGCAAAGGCCAGAGGGCTTCCCAGGGGCAGGCGTGCATCTGCCATTCCTGCTGCCGTTGCGCGTAGGTTCTAGACATCACAGTCCCAGAGCTGACCCGGCATGCTGCCCACGTTCTTACATGAAGAGGAAACGCGGGACTCAGGGGTGCTGGGCTTGCCCTCACCGGAGACAGCCTCGTGAGTGTTTGGCAGGGCCCGTGGGCAGTCGTTCCTGGCATGTCGGGCTGTCTGGGGAGGTGTGTGATGGTCTTCCAGCCTGGAGGAAAACAGGAAAAACAGCAGTTAAGTACAGCCAGCCAGGAGATGTGGACTGCTGGCTGCGGTGCGACATCACAAATACAGGAGGGGGCACAACTCAATGTCCAGTTAAACCGTCATTAGCATATTACACCTTTTAAGGGTTCTTGGCAGAAGCCAGGAGGCTGACCCTGGGAAGTAGTAGCCTCCCTTGCTCCTGTTAGCCCCATTGTGTATTTACAGTGATACATGGCTTGGTGTATTCCTAACATACAATTACGTCTTATAACCCTGGGTGACATGGGACCATGACATTTCAAGCAACACAAGGCACAGATCTGGTTTTCTCCAAGGATGAAGCAGATGAATGAAGGGATGAATCCAATCAGAGAAGATATAACGTGTCATGTCAGCCGTGGCAAGTGTTGGCCAAGAACAAGACTGCAGAACTTTCTTTTTTTCTTTTTTTTTTTTTTTGAGACGGAGTTTCACTCATGTTACCCAGGCTGGAGTGCAATGGTGCGATCTCGGCTCACCGCAACCTCCGCCTCCTGGGTTCAGGCAATTCTCCTGCCTCAGCCTCCTGAGTAGCTGGGATTACAGGCACGCACCACCATACCCAGCTAATTTTTTGTATTTTTAGTAGAGACGGGGTTTCACCATGCTGATCAGGATGGTCTCGATCTCTTGACCTCGTGATCCACCCGCCTCGGCCTCCCAAAGTGCTGGGATTACAGGCTTGAGCCACCGCGCCCGGCCTAGAACTTTCTTTTTTTCTTAGAGACAGGCTCCCACTCTGTCACCCAGGCTGGAGTGCAGTGGTGCAACCACAGCTCGCTGCAGCCTCGACCTCCCAGGCTCAAGGGATCCTCCCACCTCAGCCTCTGGAGTAGCTGGGACTACAGATGGGCGTCTCTACACTGGACTCATTTTTTTTTTTTTAATTTTTTATAGAGACAAGTTCTCTCTATGTTGCCAGGACTGGTCTCAAACTCCTGGGTTCAAGCAATCCTCACACCTCGGCCTCCCAAAGTGCTGGGATTATAGCCGTGAGCCACCATGACTGGCTTAGAACTTACTTTCTTACAACACTACCTAAAGGATGTGTCAGAACAGCTCCTGTGCAGTGCCTAGCGTCGGCACCCAAGCAGCGGGAGATAACCTCGTCCAGCAGACAAGCGCTGAGAGCCTCATTGCACCAGATCCAGCCATGTGCGAGGGCCAGCTGGCTGGGACAGGCTCATCAGGTCAGCCTTGACCACAGATCCTCAAGGAAGGCCCTCCAGTTATCTGTAAGGCAACGGAACACTCGCTTCCCCTTCCACAAGGAAACATGGGCCACCTACTCCAACAAGGGCTCAGCGTGTGACACATGACAAGCTCGTGCCTGCCTAGGGTTGGACCCTGCACATGGCTTGAATGTCAATTTCATATGACTGGCCAGGCACGGTGGCTCACGTCTGTAATCCCAGCACTTTGGGAGGCCGAAGCAGGCAGATTACTTGAGGTCAGGAGTTCTAGACCAGCTTGACCAACATGGTGAAACACCATCTCTACTAAAAATACAAAAATTAGCTGGGCGTGGTGGTGTATGCCTATAGTCCCAGCTACTCAAGAGGCTGAGGCAGGAGAATCACTTGAGCCAGGGAGGTGGAGGTTGCAGTGAGCTGAGATTGTGCCACTGCACTCCAACCTGGGCAACAGAGCAAGACTCTGTTTAAAAAAAAAAATTCATATGGCTCAACCCAACACCAAAGACAGGGAGACATGTAACCACCCTGAGGGGAGGCAGGAAAGTCTTCCCAAGGTAGGCATTCAGTCTTTTTTTTTTTTTTTTTTAAATAGAGACGAGGTCTCACTATGTTGCCTAGGCTGGTTTTGAACCGAGCTCAAGTGATCCTCCCACCTTAGCCTCCCAAAGTCCTAGGATTACAGGCATGAGCCACCACACTCCTGGCCAACTCAGTCTTGAACTCTTGAGTTGGGGTTTGCCAGGTGCCAGAAGAGGGAAGGTTTCCTAGCAGAAGTACCACCATGAGCAAGGTGAAGAGGAAAAAAATCTGTCTATCTATCTATCTATCTATCTATCATCTATCTATCATCTATCTATCATCTATCTATACGGTGTGTATATATATATATGTATATATATATATATTTATGCTACATTGTTAAAGAAAGATTTAAAGCACCACAAAATATGGATGCCCCCTACCTCCCCATCCTGAAAAGACCTGTGCGACAGTAGTGTGGAGGGGGCAGGGTGTCCTGGGCGCCCTGATGCTTGTGTGTGTGGAGGTGCCAATTGAGAAGGACCCAGTAAGGCCAGGATTTAAACATGCTCCCAAGTAAAGGAGAACCAAAGGAATGGTATTCCCTGCTAAAGGACCATTCCATCAATGGTAATGGAAGGTGGACGGTGGCATGGAGCGCTGTTAGGAGGACCTCCCTGAGCCGTGAAGGCCGGTGGTGGGCAGGACAGAGTGGGAGGAGCGTGCATACCTGCCTGGACTCAGGCTTGGCTGTTTGTGGGCACTCACGCCATGCCCTGAAGCAGGGGGTTCAGATGGCAGCTCCATTGATTTAGGAAACGCCAAATTGGGGGTGTTGTGGGGACATATCTGGGCTGAGTGTGGGTGTCATTAGTTAGTGGAAACTAGACAAAAGGCCAGATGGGGTGAGGGCCTTCGATGGGGCATCCGGGGAGGAAGGGGGTGAGAGGCAGAGGCCAGCACAAGGGGACTGGGGTACAATGACTCCCAGGAGGGGTCAGCAGCTGGCAACTGCAAGAGCGGGGACAATGGGCCCAGAGTGTCCTTGGGGGTTGGAAGCCGAAGGTCACCTGTGGTCCTGGCAGTAATACCCTCTGGAAGTCGTTGCCTGGCCACAGAAGGCTGACTGGAGAGGAAGATGGGGCAGGGACTTGGCCAGAGAGGGCCTGAGGGGGAGGGAGGCAGAGCCCAGAGCCTGTTGAGAGGCTCGAGGAAGGCAGCAGGAGGGGAGGTTGAAGACAGAGCAAAGGATGTGTCCAGAGATTGCAGAGATGGGGGAGAAGGATCTGGAAGCCATGACAGGAGCAGGCTTGGGTGGGAAGAAAATGGCCAGGGAAGTGCAGCTGATGCCAGGCTGAGGTGGGGTGGGAGCGTCTCCACTGCATGGGGCAAATGTGTTTATCTGCAACTTTTTTTTCTCTTAATTATAAAACCAGTAAGTGCTTATCGTGAAAAATTAGGTAAATATATAGAATATATAAATGACCTGCCCTCCCAATACCTAAGCACAACCACTTAACATTTGGTTTAAAAAAAATCTTTAAAAATTTGCAAATACACACTTAAAAATACTAGCCTGGGTTGTCCACTCTACATGGCTAGCATGCTACAGTCACACTATTCTAGAATTTGCTTTTTCACTTAGCAAGACATTGTGAGGCTCTTCCCATGTCATTCAATATTTTTCTAAAAATAATCTTCAGTACCCTTTTGTGTGAATATATCATAATTTATGGAACCAGCCTCCTATTTTGGGGATGTAGTTTCTAATTTTATAAGTAACATTGCAACAAATAACCTTGTGTGTGTATATACAGATACAGATATTTATTTATATCATCCATCTATCTATATACCTACCTACCTACCTACCTACCTACCTATCTTTGTGAATATCTCATTACTTCCCAGTATAAAATCCTAGCAGTGGACCAGGCACCTGTAATCCCAGCAAGTTGGGAGGCAAAGGCAGGCAGATCACTGAGTCGGGAGTTCCAGACATGGTGAAACCTCGTCTCTATTTAAAAAAAAAATACAACAATTAGCTGGGTGTGGTGGTGGGCACTTGTAATCCCAGCTACTCAGGAGGCTGAGGCAGGAGAGTCACTGGAACCTGGGAGACAGGGGCTGCAGTGAACCAAGACTGTGTTATCACACTCCAGCCTGGGCGACAGAGCAAGACTCTGTCTAAAAAAAAAAAAAAAAAATCCTAGCAGTGGAATTACTGACTGTGAAAGTACTAGTGGCCGGGCATGGTGGCTCATACCTGTAATCCCAGCACTTTGGAAAGCTGAGGTAGGATGATTGCTTGAACTCAGGTGTTCAAGACTAGCCTGGGCAACACAGTGAGACTCTGTCTCTACAAAAAATAAAAAATTCAGCCAGGTGTGGTGGTGCATGCCTGTAGTCCCAGCTACTTGGGAGGCTGAGGTGGGAGGATGCTTTGTGCTCAGGAGGTCAAGGCTGCAGTGAGCTGTGATTGTGCCACCGTACTCCAGCTGGTGTGACAGAGTGAGACGGTGTCTTAAAACAAAACCAAAGCAAAAAAGTCCTGCGGCTGGGCGCAGTGGCTCACACCTATAATCCCAGCACTTTGGGAGGCCAAGGTGGGCAGATCACGAGGTCAAGAGATGGAGACCATCTGGCCAACATGGTGAAACCCCATCTCTACTAAAAATGCAAAAATTAGCTGGGCATTGTGGTGCATGCCTATAGCCCCAGCTACAGGAGAATTGCTTGAACCCAGGAGACGGAGGTTGCAGTGAGCCAAGATCTCGCCACTGTACTCCAGTCTGGGCGACAGAGAGAGACTCCATCTCAAAACAAAACAAAACAAAACAAAAAGTCCTGGTATTCTGAATGTGTGCAATACATACTATCCTAGTGTCCCCAAGAGCATGAAGATTCTAGATTGATCCACACTCCTGGCAATGGGGGAATAACCAGAAGGTGCTGGTGGTGAAGGGAGAGTCATAATTTTTCTTTTAGTTAGGAATATTTATGTAATTTATGTACTTAGTGGTTCACCAAGCATATAATAACTCCAAATTAGTAAAAACAAATGTCAGAAATATCAGCATGGCTATATAAATCATGGTATGTAAATATAATATCAATCATTAAATCATCTTTTACAGGATGTTCAACAATGCAAAAGAAAACAAACTAAAATCAAACTGCAAGCAAACCATATATACATGCAGACACATACACGAACACTAAAAGGGTTCTCATTTGCTAAAAATAT